ATATGTATATATATATCTTTGTCCTCACCTGTCTCAGGGGAAGTTGACGTCCCAGGGGAAGCTCCTGCAGCAGGAGACCTTCTGTGTTTGGGAGCAGGACGGCGGCGTGTTGTCTCGCAGTAAAGAGCGCAGGGTTTTCCTGTTCGAGCAGATCATCATCTTCAGTGAACTTCTGCGCAAAGGCTCCAACAACCCTGGATACCAGTTCAAGAACAGCATCAAGGTGGGACTGTTGATAAAGTTTTATTCAGGATCAGCCTCCGACACGTTGACGCTGAGATTCATGTTCCACTGTGTCATCAGGTGAGTTACCTGGCGATGCAGGACAGCGTGGACGGAGATCCCTGTAAGTTTGTGCTGTGGTCTCGCGGCTCGGCGGAGCGCTTCACGCTGCAAGCGTCCTCCGCATGCATCAAGATGACATGGGTGGAGACCATCGCCGCCCTGCTGGACGCCCAGAACAACTTCTTGTCTGGTGAGTGCGTCCTCACTTTGCCTCTGAAAACATCCATAAATCTTTTCAACATCACTTGAGCTCTGTCAGGAAGCTTCCTTACTTTGATCAATCCATCCTCACTCATCCCCTCCGACCTCAACTGAATGAATCCTCGTTAAACCCCCTGAAGAACCTCAGAGTGTCTGAATCGCCCTTGAATCTCGTTCAACATCCTCCTCTCATCTGAATCCTCATCAGTTCGGTCATCGTTCCGTCTCCTTTCATCTCTGTCAGTCTTTCATCTGTCAGAAAGCTCTTTGACATCCTCTCACTGAAATCCACCTCCTGCTTCGATCTGTTGTGTTTGCAGCTCTTCAGTCTCCCATTGAGTACCAGAGGAAAGAGGGCGGGATCTCTGTGACCCGTCCTCTGTCGTCAGGGCGACCGCCATCAGCACCACCTACGCCAAACGGCCACGCCCCTCAGCCTCAACCTGACGGCGAGCAGGAAGACCAGGTTTGGATTTGAACTCAGATCAGAGTCAGATGTGATCCCTGATGATTGTTTTGGTGACATCATGACCTCTGTCCAATCAGGAGCTGGTCCTGGTGCTGCAGGACTTCGTGGCGGTGCGGGAGGACGAGATCTCCGTGTTTCGGGGGGAGAAGGTTCAGATTCTGGCGTCCAACCAGCAGGGTCAGAGTCTGGTTTACCGGCCGGCCAACAGCGACTCGCCGGCCGCCGAGGGCTGGGTGCCACGCAGTGTCCTGAACACACACTGACACACAAACACACACAAACACACAAACACACACAAACACACACTGACACACAAACACACACAAACACACAAACACACACAAACACACACTGACACACAAACACACACA